TACACAATAAAACTGTTTTCAATTGTTTACAAACAATAAAAAAAGTTTGTGCATAATTGACATTTCAGGTATTGTTCAACCCATTATCAATTTTATTTCATTTCAGGTCACAATTTTTTCACAAATTGATTACTGCTATTTATTGTTGTTCATTTTTTTAACGTTACTTCTACCAACTCAACCAACTATTTGTCAAAATATTGTTAGAATTTTCAATAACTTCCTCATTTGATTTGTTTTTGTAATTTATTTATTCTTCCACAGATTTCAAATATGTTAACATCGTTCATAGACAGTGGAGGCCTAAACTTATAATATTTAGGAATAGATTCCTTTGAAATTTCTGATAAAAAATGTAAAATTTACTTTTGAGCCAGGTAGAAGTAAAATTCCAACTCAAGATAAACAATCCGAAACAATATCTCATAGGCCTTTTATTTTTGCTATTTTGTCATTTCTAATGCTAATTCTGATAACTTTTGCAATTTTCATCTTGACATCAAAACATTCGAACGGATGACGAGGACGATCCTTTTGTAATTGTTTTTTCGTTTTATAATTTTGTAGTTATTCAAATAAGATATGACGAATTACAGAAGAAAAGTAAAACGTTATGGACAAAACTTGGAAAGTATCTTTGGATGGACAGCAGAATTGAAGTGTACTCTCATAACACAAATTTATTATCTTCAGGAAAGAGCTACAAAGGATTTGAATGGTAGTAATACAATTTTCAAATCAACCTCAGCGAAATATGTACCTTTTTGTTCGATATCGATAAAAATATACACAAATTTCAGAGTAGAAATGAGTCTAAGTCTTACCAGAATAAATTATAACTTTCTTTACTTTACTTGCTTACTTTAACTTTCATCACACTTGCACCAATAATACTATTTCAATTGTTCCATAGTTTCAACATGAACAAACACATATTTTAAACTAAATTCCATGATAGATGTCATTGTCATATTTCTTCTCTCTTTTTTTCTCTCCCGCTCTCTCTATCTCTCTCAATCTTCTTGGTATCAAACGCATGTTTTACCAATAATTTTCATGTGATCAATGTGCCTTAGTGAGGAGGAATCAAGCTATTTTATCTGAGTGATATGTCTGATTGCTCTGACATTATTTTCATAAATTTCACATCGTTTTTGACACGGCCAACCTCAGTGAGTTTTAATTTGTTTCGTGAATTTCAAAATTTCATTACTAACATTAAAACCTTCTGTATGAAACTTTTTCCTGAAGATGATAGTAAATTTTAGAAATATTGGAATAACTAGTGTTAAAATAGTACACTTCCATTCTGCTGTTCATGTAAAGATACTCGAAAAATCCCTAGATTTTTTATAAATATGGAGAAGTAGAAAGCCAAAAAGCTTTTCTCCCAAACAAAAACTATACTCTCCTAAAAAATATACTCCTTTCATGGTAATTTCTTTTTCACAATTAAAAGGTTTTTGAATTCGCTTTGATACTAGGAAGCACATTATTTTATGGGTAGAATTCATGAAAATTACGTTAAGAAATCGCGTAAAATCTTCCAAAAATAAGTTTAAAAAAAATAGAAAATTTCCGAAAAAGCAAAAAATAATCACACAATCAAAAACTACAAAAAATCGGGTGAAATTTGCGTAATATATTTAGATACCCCTTTTTTATTTTTCAATGTCATTATTTGGACCACCCCGTATGAACTTTTTTCATAAACTACAACAAAGTATATAATTCTCTGAAAGTAGAGGCATAACTTTTGACACATCCTATATAATGAAAATATAATAAAATCGATACTGTTACATTGAATCTGTAGTTTTCATTTTACAAAAAAATATAAACTGACACTGACATAACAACTCCAAATGCTTGTTGCATTTTGATAATAGTTGATAAATAGCTCTATAGTTGTTTAGGTTCAAAACGAATTATCTCAATAAGTTCCACTCATGTATAAATATAACTAGTTATTTTTGTCGCTTTTCAATCATTGGTGATTGATGAAAGGTATACAAGAAAACCTTTTCAAATTATTAGCATTCTCCAAACATCAATCAGTCATTCAATATTAAACATCATGCAGGTGAAAACTTGCCTCTATTTCGAATCCGTCAATCATCAGACGTCGAATAACACAACCACCTTCACGCAACACATGAACGTATCGAAATAAAGTTCAAAACACGAAATACCCTTCCGAACATTGCAATCAATATCAGGAACGTCTGCGTTGATAATAATTTTATCATTTGACCTTCGAATGGGTTTATATTGAAAACGCGATTTCGCGATCGTCAAATATTACCTATAACCTAAATATTATCACATACGGGGGAGTCACATGCTAATGCTGGAGATGAGGAGGGGGGGAGGATTTTCCATAACGAAAGAATTAGAATTCTAAAAATGTATTGTTATCCGATATGTGATTTAAATAGTTATATAATACATGTTACACATGTTATAAAATAAAATGATATGATAATAAGGTTAGAATAAAACATCATTGAGAAAACGATAAGTGATATATCAACAGTTACGCTTTCAAGAAAGAAAAACAGAAAATCTGAGTGTAAAATTCAAGATAGCTGTGGATTTTAGTATAGATTAGATGAAATGAATTGAAATGCATTAGAATATAAAGTATAATTAATAATAAAAATAATCGTTTTTATNTAAAATTTAAATCAAAGGTGATAACATTGTCATCGCTCGAATAGAATGTTCATGGTTTTCTATTAGGACACTTATTTTTTCTTTCATTTTGTAAAATCTCTTTTTTTAGTTCGTTGTTGAATTCACATTCATTTTTCATTGCCAGTATTATTGTCGGTATCGTGTTGTATATTTTCAAAGAGACATACAAGTATGCTCTTTGTGATATCGATTTTTAACCTGAGACGGTTCATTTATTATGTTAACGCGTGTTATAATTGTGTCTAGGAATTCGTTTCTTGTTGAAATGATATTTAATATTCGCACAAAAATAATATAGCTGTCTCATATCTATTACTTGGCACAGTCATCGTATATTTCTTAAAAAGAATACCTCAAGTTTTTCGACGAGATCAGTTTCAGAATCCTTTTTTGTAAAATCTCCAGTGACTTTATATGCATTCATAGTGTTGACCCCCAGAGTAGTATTCCACATCGTAGGTGACTTCTTATCAGAGCACAATATAAAGTTTTTAGGCGTTTGAAGCATTTTTCAAGAATTTTCAATTTGTATATTATACATTGCAATTTATTTTCTTACCTAACGTATTTTAGGTAAAGACCCCATCTCAGGAGTAAATCGAAGATCAATCCCAGATATTTCATTTTGAGAACAGGTCTGTTGATGATAGTTGTACCACGGGAGATTTGTATTTCAAGTTGTTGAAAGGTAGGAGTAGGAGATTTATTGCAGCAGAGAGATAAAAAATGGGCCTTTTCGAGGATGACAGTTAACAGCCTATGTAATGATAATCCCTCCAAAAACATTTCCGTGTAAAGTATTGACAAGACGAGTACCAATTGCTTGAACTATAAAAAAGTTATCAGATCTCATAGTTAGCCAAGCTCCTTCGGTCAGGGCCTGTAGACACGCCTTAACTTTACAAACCCTAACTAGTTGAAATATGTGGCTTGGACATTTCTTCATTCCAGGAACTTGTGGCACAAAATGACCAAATACTGAAAAACTTGACCTCATGTTAGTGTCTAACGTGATACCTACACTTTATTGTGACACATATTTCAACTATGAGGTAGGGTTTGTAAAGTTAAGGCGTGATTATACGCTTTAACTTAAGGACCTCAGCTCACTATGAGATCTGATAAGTTTTTCTATAGTTCAAGCAATACTTTACATGAAAATGTTCTTGAAGGGATTATCATTACGTTTTATGTCATATCAAAATAATAATAATAAACCTAAAAACATAAACCATAAAATGAACAACGTTTTTCGAAATCCTTTAGAAATGTTAAACAACAATAATAAATATCGAAACTAATTGTTTATTTCATTTTCCAGAAACTGAAAAACGGACTAATTTGCTTTTTAGGTGATCAAATTTGTAACACACAACTCTACCCACAATCAATCCACTTTCTTTTCTACACCATATATACCAGTAAACCAGTATACCATATACCAGTAAAAAACAGATTAGTAAGTACTCAAAATTCAATGCAAAGATAAATCGACTTACGCGATTTAACCACAGAACGAAGAGGCATGTTTTGAGAAAAAGTTTCGAAACAGGTGAGATCAAAACGTTAGACACGCAACCATTTATAGGATAATAAGAGAATGTCAGGAAAGTATACTTTGAATTAATTCTCGAAGCTATTCATTACTTAGTGCAGTTGGCATATTTTTTAGCTGCTGTATTTTTAAAGTAAAAATATAAACTACTGTTGCCGGTCTTATATCAATATGCAGGTAGGTTCTTTGTATAGAATGAATAAGCATCAAGAAAGGGAATCACGAATTTCGACCCCCAAGGGGGGTCGAAGTTGGAAACCTGAAGTGTTGGGTTGATAAAAAAATATAAATATTTGTTTGAAATGGTCTGTCACGAAACTCAATGTGACAAATCAAATTCTACGTGGGCGAATCCGCGGTCAAAAACTAGTCAAATTATATATCAGATAAGTTTCAAACAATTTGAATTTACCGCTGAAAATGACTTCAAACACCTCGACCACAGAATATAGGTCACAGAAAATTGACCCCCCAACTTGAAAGTGCGGCAGATAAAGTGTCTCTTCTGTGAGGTATTATGTGGTTCTACTCTGATGTGCGATTTCTGAGGCTTCGGTTTCATCATCGTATGTTAGTCGAGCTCGAAGAGAAGCTGTGAAGACGAGCTTCATACCCATAGTCATATCCTATAATTTAATCACGGGTACAGGAATTTAATTGAAATTTTGTTGCACCCTTGATCAATCCTGTTACATTTTTTACCAAAACTTATGTCCCATACTTTTTGATTTGGATAAATTTCACTTACCTGTAATCTCAAGTCGACATGAGGCTGAGATATAGACAAAGAGGAAGAACTTTGCGCCACATCCAGTTCCATGTCGGATCCAGAATTAGGCGAATGGAAAACGCTGTCGTGTGACACGCTGAGACCGGGATGCATCGATGATGAACTCCTGGAAAAGAAACAACTACTCAAAGAAATTCACAGTTCTATTATTTCATCTCAAAATGAAACCTATCATGTATTAGGATGCGTTTATGTTGAAGTAGTGATAAACGATAAGAGCGGCGATACTAGCAAAGCTAAGAAAATGTAAAACAACTGTTTATATTGGAATGTCGCTTCGAAACGCTCCCGACTACGACCAGAGATGAGAGCAACTATAATATGCAACTTGGTTTTCTCAATGTTACTGGGAATGACTAGAAAATCACTGATTAACGAAATTCTTGCCATCTATCCCAACACCAAACCTTTATTTTAATACCTGGATCACCAAGTGATCATCTTCAAGAGAAAGATCAAACCGTTCGATCTTCCTCTTGAAGATTATCAAGCCAAGCCTTGGCTTCAACAGTTTTTTTTTGCCAAAAAGCAATTATTTTATTGACACACGGATAACATTCTCATTCATTTTCTTCAAACTAACAAATGTTGCATCCCACGCATTGCAAAATGTTCCATCCCACGAACCAATAGTCCGGCAGCTGTGAAATTTGAACACGTGGCTTCTGAAGGTTTGTGTTAACTAAAAATCATATTAATTCAATATTAGTTACGCCATCTGTGTGTCCCTCTACGAACTTTTCAACCCGCCTCATACACCCACAGCTTACTCAATAAGTAACCTTTCAATATTGCAAAACAGCACTAGTCTTTCTTTTCCTCATATCGTTTATCATATCATTAGGAAGAAATATTTATTGATGTTTGACAGTATTCTACAAATGATAGAGATCCAAAAATTGTATAAGTTTTGGGTTCAAATTTTAGAGAACAGTGTAAATAAGACGTTTTGTGGTATAACATAATAACTGCACCATTTTAGTGGAAAAATAACAGGGAGATCCAAAAGTACAAGGGATTCAGGATTTTTTAATGGCTATCCGATGATGATTTGAAGGTCGATTTACACTTTTCAATTTTTTTTTTGCAGGAAGTAAAATGGCGGAAACATTTACGGCCCTTGAATATCTCTGAGTTGATCACTGAAGGGCATTTAAAACATTCTAAACGATAATGAAAATAGATTGTACTAGATGATCCAATTTTTCTCTCGACTATTCAACGGAGAAACTAGATTTGAACTTGAAATCATTTAAAAGTCAAAGTCAGTAGAAAGAGCAGAAATGAATACGATTGAGCATGTACTTGAGTGAGACTGATGGTTCGAGAATGTGTACGCCTAACATGCCTGCAAACAAAGGATCGAGACTAATCAATGTGCATTGCGAAGGAAGTAAAGGATGGGTTCTAAATTCTTTGAAATTATGTGGAAAAAAACTTGAGGACTGCAACTATCTGACTATCATAAGAACATAGAAGCTAATATTTTCCAGGAATGGTTTGAAAATACATTGATCCCAAATTTCGATGCGAATAGTGTAATATATCTTGATAACGCTTCCTATCATTTGGGACTGCGTATCAAAGTACCGAATAAAAATTCGAGGAAAGATGAAATACAAAGTTTTTTAATGGATATCAATTTGTATTTTGAAGATGACTATACCAAAAATCAACTACTCCAAGTTTTGCAGGCAAAAACATTTGAAAAAGTGTATGCCCTTGAGAGTACTGCTGAAAAGTTTGGACACACCATACTGAGACGTCCCCCCTATTTTTGTGTCTTCAATCTCATTTTTGTGTTTTCAATCCCATCGACAGGCGTAAAAATTATTTTGATATTTGATAAATAATTGATAATTAAAGAAGAAGTATCTAATATTACCCAAGAAGACTGACAGAAATGGATTAAAAAAGTAATTTCAGTTGAAAAATACTATATGGAGAATGGACACTTCCATATTGCTGGTGGACAGTAATAGTGAAACAGAGAATATGGAAGAGGAATTATCAGAAGCTTTCGAAAAAAGTTAGGCAAACCGCGTACAACCTCTACAACCTCATGGCTTTTACCTGTAATCAATAATTTTTAGAAAATTTTAATGTAATATTCTTCTGTGTATCCTGTGAGGAGTCAACCTCTTTCAATTAGTGACTTGTTTATTGTATTGACATGTTTCATTTGTTCAAATATAACATTCTGTTCGACACGGCCAACCTAACTAACACTTTTCCCTGAAGATGATAATAAATTTTATTGAAATATTGGGATAAAGAAAGTATTTATCTATTTATCTTTTGATTTTCATGGAATTATTTTCCAGCAGCGTGACTGCATTAACCTTTGTCGATTTCATATCATTTGTAGAAACATATGGATTCGTTTTCCGAATAATAAATAAAATGAAATTCACAGCTTAACAGGAGAATTACTAATGATTATGGCAACCTTACCTCCTCCTGCCCTCCTCTTCACCGACGGAAAGCTCGCTGGTAGACCTGCTGCGCAGCGCGTCCTTTCCGATTTCCGTAACATCGACAGGCGCCGCATCTTCGGTCACTTTGTTTTTCCTCTTGAACCACTTCCTTGGATTCCAGAATCGCCTCTTCGACGCCACTGAAATCGAAACGAAACTCCAATGAGATTACCATCGGAAACGGTACCTACTTAAACAAAGAACCAGAGCATGAAACAGAAGTAATGCACTTTTCAATGAAAATAAATCGGCGTATTATCATTACCGAGCGAGTATTTTTTTCTGGTCCTCATGTTGGACGCGCCGCGTTCGAAATTAAAGAGGGCACTAGCGTGGGAGGGTCACTCGTCGATTGTTTATTGTTTTATCACAATAACTTTTTCTATGCGCTTACGCAAATGTTTCACATAATACGTTAGTCAGAGCACGTGATTTTACGATGAAAACGTTATTCATGTCATGAGCAGAGCAGAACTGATAGAATCTGTGCTCGGACAGCAAAGTTTTGATGCTGGGAGAGGGAGTTATTTTTCCATCACATTGTTTCTCTGTTTGATTGAACATAAAATGGGACTATCAACGTGTTAATTTACGTTATTAACAGTAATTTATAGCCTATATTTCGTGACCAGTTATCACATTGAAGACAATAAACTTGGCAATTCTGACACACCTGATATTATTCAATGATTTCAGATCATTGATTGAGGCTTGGTCACTGCAATTTTTGAAGTTGTTTGCAGCTGATTGTTTGAGTTAGTCCAGACAAATTACCAAAATCGATGTAAAACACACGCTAAATCAAAATATTCAAGTTTAAGGACAGCAGCAACAGGTTATAGGGGTTAGGAATCACACGTTAAAAGGTGAGACCTCGTAAGTCCTTAGCTCGCACAAGTTTCGACTTTTGAGAGTTGTCGTTCGTAGGGGTGCGACAGCTGGTTAACGGAAAAACAGATTTTGAACAGATAGAGAGAGATGATGCACTACGACCGAACGAATAGCTGTACTATGAAATGATACTCGCCCAGAATATCTCACCTTCCCTCCCATATTTGGTTTTCAACTGATATTTACTAGATGTTTCTGCCAAGCGAGTGGTGTCATGTGATCAGTCATGATGTTCATTTCTGAACATATTCCAAAGTTTTTCCCGATCAATTGTAACACTGCTAATACCAAACAAATAAGTTTTTGCACATTTCCCAGCGGTCGCTTCAAACAATTGAATTTTTCAATTATTTATGGACAATCAAAGACGTTGAAATTCAAAAACATAAATAATTTTATTATATTCCCAACAGATTTTCTATAGTTTTTGAGTGAATATTTTACACTAGTTCAAATTCCCTATTGATTTATTCATTAAACAATGTTGATAGTGAGTTCAGATAAATATTGTGTTATTTCGAAAGTTTTATTCGTTTTAATGCCATGTATTTTTGTAGCTCCGTATCTCAATAAATACAGGGTGTAACTAAATAAGTGCAAAACATTTGAGGAGATTATTCCTCATCGAAAAAGAAAATAGGATCTTTCATATAAAGAAATTTCATTGGAGCATCCCTTGTTAAGGTACAGCCCCTTAAAGGGGGTACATGAAATTTGTATAACAATTTTTTCACAAGCACTAAAAAAAGTTACAATATTGAAATTAACCTGACATTTTGTACTACCAAAAAGACACCCCTTGGTTGTAAGGGGTGGAAATAAATTTTAGGTATTTTGTCTTATTATTTGTTTACCATTTAAAAATTTATTTCCGATAGCCTGTTTCATTCTAAACAAAAAATGTCTCTTGGGTTTTTTGCCCAAAATAAACATGAAAAAAATTGTTACACAAATTTTATGTACCTCCTTTAAGGGGCTGTATCTTAACAAGGGATGCTCCAATGAAGTTTCTTTATATGAAAGATCCTATCTTTTTTTCGATGAGGAATCACCTCCGTAAATGTTTTACACTTATTCAGTTACACCCTGTATAGGGTGTTCCAACAAAAATTTGGCCCCCTCTGTAAGTCAGAAATGGACGTGTAATTCTGATACGAAAATCATACCCGAAACTTCACCTCCCTGCGGTCAGCAACTGCCACCCCTATTTTTTTCAATGGCATGAGGGGTCGAATAATACATCATTTGAAAGGTCTTTTGTCCCTCTATTTATTATCTGATTTTTTTTCGAAATTGGTTCATTCGTTATTGAGACATTGAATATTGAACGTTTTATTTAAGAAGAAACAGAAAATTCGCTGTCGCTCATTTTATTGAGGAAATCAACAAAAGTAATACCAATGGCCACACAATCAACGGATAAAGTGTTCAAAATGATTGAATCAATCAACGGTTGAACACTTCAACCGTTGATTGTGTTGCCATCGATATTACTTTTGTTGATTTCCTCGATAAAATGAGCGACAGCGAATTTTCTGTTTTTTCTTAAATAAAACGTTCAATATTCAATTTCTCAATAACGAATGAACCAATTACGAAAAAAAACACATAAGTAATAGAGGGACAAAAGACCTCTCAAATGATGTATCACTTGACCCCCATGCCATTGAAAAAAATAGGAGGGGTAGTTGTTGACCGCAAAGGGGTGAAGTTTCGGTTATGATTAGCCCCTCTAGAGATAAAAATTTTCGTGTTCTTTGAAATGTTCGATAACACGTCCGTTTCTGACTTACAGGGGGGAGGGGTCAAGTTTTCGTTGGAACACCCTGTATGTATTCAACTGTGTCGTGGTATAAACTGATTGGTAGAAATATCTGTACTCTATACATTGTTGCTGTAATTTTTTTTCCTAGTTTCAATTTTTTGACCCTTTACAGCTTATTTTTCAACCAATTTTTCTCTACAAATTCAAATTCAACCAAAGCATCGCCGAAATATTAACCGTGCATTTGTCAATGATAGTTTCAATGAACTGTTGGTTTGCCAAAATTCGTTTCGGAGATTTTAGCCATGTGTGATGAAAAGTGGACCCTCTACGACAACAGCAGACATTCAGGACAGTGGTTGGACACCGATGAGCCACCCAGATCCTTCCAAAGGGCAAAACCCACAAAAAAATGACCATGGTTACTGTATGACAGTCAGCGGCTGGTGTGATTCTCAATAACTTTCTACAACCGGGCCAAAGCATCACAGCAGAGTTCTATTGTGAGGCAGAAGAAGTCCGATCCTGCTAAACGACAACGCTTGTCCGCACGTTTCACAAATTATCGTCCGTAAATTAAACGAATTGAGCGTTGAGGTTCTACCCCACCCACCATACTCCCCAGACCTCTCGCCAATCGACTACCATCCCTTAAGCACTTCGACAACTTTCTCACCGGTAGAACCTTCCCCAATCGGGACCGGTCATAAACGGCCTTCGTCGACTTCGTCGAAGCCTGAACACCCAATTTTTATGCTGACGAAGTTAAGAGACTTGTGTGACGTTGAGATCTGATTCAAATAGCGCTCATTTCAAATAAATTGACTAAGTATTCACAGTTTGAAGTAGAATCATAAAAACGGACAGAACTTTCAAAACAGCCTAATAATTTATTCCGAAAAAAAAAATGTTTAAGCAAGAATAACCAAAAATCAAATAGTAGGAGCCACAATATTCAAGAGACCATTAATATATTAGACCTAGGTAACAGTCATCGTGTTTTGTCAATCTTAGATTACGCTTCCATTGTAAATACGATCTCTGCATATACATGACTCATACAACATTTGGAACTAGTCCAATGATTTCGGACATGAATTGTGCCTCATGAATCATAATATCTTGGCAATATATCTCACGTAGAAGTCTTATGAAAGAGCAATAACTATTGTATCTTTCCTCTAATGAAAATATGACAAATGCCGCTTAGGGACTAGTTTGAGAGGACCAAAATAGTGAAAAGGGTATGTTTTCAATCCAGAACTACTGCTGATGTTCAATTTTTTTATGGAAATAATTTTGTCGTTTCGAAGAGTTCTTTGAAAAATATCCGAACCTTTTTGTCATAACTGTAAAACTTTCGAAAATATTTGATAAAGTATAAATTTTGGTGGTTGATTGGATTAAGAATAAAAAAAAATACATTTCTCTCAAAATCTTCGAAATCCGTGGAGATTATCGAAAAATGTAGTTATACCCGTTTTGAAGACCTAATTACGTTCTATCGAAGAGGTTCTCATACATTAATTACTAAAATGCTATGGAAGTAATCCATAAAATTTAGTTTCATCACATTTTTTCTGCCCTATCTAGAAATAAAAAATAAATGAATAAATTTTTGAAATATTATTTTCCAAATAGCCTAACTAATGGCTTCNTTCGTTTCCATATTGAACGCTCTCACCTTCTACGCTCTTCAACATCTACAATGTTCAACTTCTACGCTTTCAACTTCTTTCTACGCTCCACCTCACTGTATGCCATGAATAGTTGACCAGATTCAATATGTAGGTGAAGCATATTTCCGGCTAGCCATCGACACACTATTTCATTCTTCAGCTTCTACGGTTTTCAACTTCTACGGTCTTCAATTTCTACACTTTTCAACTTCCACGCTCTTTAATTTCTATGATCTCCAACTTGAATGCTCTTCAACTTTTACGCTATTCAACTTCTACAATTTTCAACTACACTCCACCTCACTGTACAGTCATGAATAGTTGTCGAGATTCAACATATAGGTAAATCGTATTTCTGGCTAGCCATTGGAATATTATTTTTTCTTCAACTTCTAAGCTTTTCAATTTCTATGGTCCCCAACTTCTACACTTTTCAACTTCTACAATCGTCAACTTCTGAGTTCAACAACTATCTTCTCAACTTCTACGCTCTCCAACTGCTACGTCGTGCTTGTTTATTTTGATATTTGAAAATAATTTCGCCTCCCTGTAAAGCTATGAATAGTTGTTTAGATGTAACATATAGGTAAAGCGTATTTCCGGCATCGACAAATTTCGTTCGAATCAAAATTCGAAAACGAGCACTCAATCGAATCACAGTTCGTTGTTAAATCAGCGAAAAATGAGAAACGCTCCAGAGTGTGTAACACATACCAACTCGCAGAATATTCACATTTATTTGGGACACGAATTATCGGGTGTTGACGTGGAGGGCTCGTTAGTTTCATGTTAATGGAAATTCGTTAGTGAGCGGAAGTAGAAAATGAAAAATAAACACTGAATTTTCAACAAGCACCTAATTTGAATTTGGTGACCCAGATTTTTTCAGAAAGTGAAGCATTTTTTCATCACTAGGAATACGAAAGTAACAATTTTTAACTTAATGATAACTATTATTGAAAAGAATATGAAGTATTCCAATGTAATTTGAACATTACCTTACTTGAAAGTCCATCCAAGCAGAAATATATTATTTTGGATGAAGTTTTAGAGATGGAAAATGGTTTTTCACACAAACTTTTTGATTCGTAGGTAACAATAAGATTAACAACTTCA